AACTTCTGTGTATGGTAACTATTATTTTCTAGCTATATATGTGATGAACTATATACTTCCATTATTTTCCTTAAAAAATTGCAATAGTTTGACTTTACACTATTCACATACTAACTTTGGATAACCACATTATTTAATTTCCTCTGTATCTTTTTTTTTATTGGGCTGTTTCACTTGTTTGTCTGGTTTCCAATGCACACATTGAAACCTAAATTTGATCAAATACGCATTATAAAGAAGTTGATATCGTGAAACCTCACATTGAGGTGAATCAAACAAGATTCCTCATAAATATATATTTTTTTCTTTGTATATCTATCAAGAGTAATTGATTTCATTTGCATTAGAATTCATAGAGATTCTAAATAGGATGCTAAAATAAGAAACAAAGGGATTAATCAAGAAAAATATATATCATGTTGGATAATTTTTAATGTTAAGTTTTCAGTGCGTCTACTTTTTGTTATTTTTTATGATGGAAAATCTAGAATATTAATGGTCAAAGTTTGGATTCTCAAATGTGATGGTCAATATTGTAATTTTAAGGAAAAGAGGAAGTATAACTTTAAAATTAGCCATCCAATTGTCTTATGCATGATTAGTCGCTAGTTTGATTGTGCAGATCTTTTTTTTATTTTTCAAAGGCGCCTTTTGATTCCCAAGTTTGTTTTATATCTCTTTGTAGATGCGGGAAACTCTTGAAGCCAGATTAGCTGCATCTGAAGAAGAGAGGAAGGCAGCTGAGACAGAGATGCTTGAGAAGCAAGAGATAGCAAAAGGGGCTCTTGCTGAGCAAGAACTTGTTATGGAGAGAGTGGTCCAAGAGTCAAAATTGTTGCAACAAGAAGCAGAAGAGAATGCCAAGGTAGAGTTTTACTTCGGAACTTTTCTAAATACAATGATGCATTTATAAATTATAATAGCTGATTGAAGGACTCCAATTATTTGTAGTATATGCTTTCCTTTAAAGATTTTTAGCTCCTCTTGTAATCAGATTTCCGCACCTGCTTTAATTCAAAGTTAGAACCGATTAGCACCACCCTTGAACCCAACCTGCTTACATAAACATGTCAGGCTTCAAAATCTGAACCTGATATGTTATAAATGGGTTGACCTGAACTCAACCTGATTTACCCTTATTTTTAATGTCTTGTTTATGGCTCTAATAAAAAGGGTGACCCTACCTGAAGTATATCCATACAATGCAAATTATTGAAAACAAAACTCTTACTGTCAATATCTCGTACACTTATTTTCTTCCGACCTCCGCTTTTTTTAGTTGACACGTTTTGACTTTAGCAATATTCACACACCTATCTTTGACTGTGTTTTGTGATTTATACATAATGAAAATATAGTCATGTCATCGTGTGGGATCTTGTTAGATTCGTTACGATCATGGTTCGAAAATGCGGTATCGGTCGCGATCGCGGAAACGGTCATGCTGATTCGGTAACGGAATTGATGCGTTGATCGCGGATCATATCGCGGTTGTTGCGTAAGAATTTAAAAATATATTTATGTTTTAAACTCTGTATTTTACAATGATTTTTCTCATAAATTTTAAAAATTTTATATATATATATATATATTTTGAAATCTTATATTCTTATACAAATATACTGCAATATTTCCCTTTTTATTACTACTACTCTGTATTCCTATACTCTTTATTATATTTTAGAATTAAAATCCTTTTTTTTTTTTTTGTGTGGGGCCTGGGTAGTAAAAAGGGAAAGAGAAGGGGTGAGGGGTCACGTGGGATGTGCGATAAGAAAAAAGCATAAGGAAAGAGAATGGGTGGGGTCCAGTCAACTTCAAAAGAGGTGTCTGATAACCAGCTGTCCCCAACTCTACCCCATTTTATTTAAAAAGATTTTTTTTTTTAATTCAGCCAGAGAAAAGTGCTCGATTTTTATGGAGAATTCAAAACCACTCGCCGGAAAATGTTTAGAGAGCTTAAAACTTGGTGTTTTTTCTTCGGATTTATGCTGGTAACGTTTGATGCGGCCGAATTTCAGTTCAGAATGATCGTATCGACCGAAATCGCGGAGTATTGTAAAGCAGCGTGCTGAATCGGTAAATATCGTAACGGCAACTTCGAAATCCGTTACATCTCGGCGGATTCGCGACGTAACGGCCATGTTTTTGAACCATGGTCACGATATGTTTTTTCAAAATATCAGCTTTTTATAATTTTTGCTTATTAGTTATTTAAGTTATTAATGGTTGAATTTGTGCATTGGTAAATGTGACTAAAGAAAGAAGTATAGAATAAAATGTAAGATTTATAACAACTTGATAATCAAATAGAACTTTGATTATTAATCCAAATTCAAACACATATTAATATATGCCTACATTGGTGCCAAAAAAGTTCAAATTAGGATGTCTTTTCATTTCGACCAAGGCTTGTCTCCGGTAAAATCAGCTTCATGGGCTTGATCCCAAATCATCTAAATTAATTCTTGCTACAAGCACAAACCAAAAAAATAATTAATTAATATATCAAGTAATATCAATAGGAAAAGCAGAATGGAAGAGAATGATATGATTCAATATATATTAAATCAATTTACCCACAACAAAGGCCCATGTCTTCCAACTAGTACAAATAGTATAAAAACTGAACATATCTAATAAACATGGTATAGCCATCTACACAAGATATACAGGGACCTCCCTATATCACTCTTTATATTCATGTGAGTCATGTTATTAAAGAATATCATTGAGGATATATTGACTTAGAATACATTTTGGCACCTACTCTAGAAAAATGCTGGGTGAAGCAGTGTAAAGCTGTTTTGGTTTCCTGTAAGCATTTTTAACTCTTCACGGCCAAACACCTCTTTTATTAAAACTATTTTTCGAGAAAGTGTTTTTAGAAAAATTCTTCTTGGAAACAGAAAATCCTGAAGTTTGTCCAAACAGTGACGGGGTTATTAATGCCATGTAGCTATGCCAAATTTCATGAATCAAGATGACAAGAACTCATGGTGTAATGTATCTTAATGGACCTGTAAGATATACTTCATTCGTTCCTTTTTTATTGCAACATTGGACACTTCACACTTTTCAATGAAACCAAATAGATTGAATAGGTTGTACTTCAAATCTTCAATAACTTAACATATCTGGCTAAACAGCCATTGCTGAAGAGGTTGTGCTCTGTTGATTCTCTTTTATTTCATCTTTATTGAAGATAACCTAACAGCTTGCATTTTTTCTTTTATTCAGCTAAGGGACTTCCTTATGGAGAAAGGTCGTGTTGTTGATGAATTGCAGTAAGTTATACTATTCTCTTTATCTGTAGATTTTGATATTCTGCAGCACTGGTGCTTCCATCTTGCTTGCCATTACCAATTAAGTTTGCTTGGTTTTGCACGAGGATGTCATCACCTTGTTTCAACTAGTTTTTCATGCTCTGTTGTGGCAAGTTTAGTGATTGTTTTTTTTGCCTTTTGGAATAGTTTTGTTCAATTACTCCTTAAAGGAGTAGCTAAAGATGAGCCCCTTGAAGCTGGTGTGATCGTGAAACAGGATGCATCATGCATGTATTATCTGATAAGTTAATCATTTGGATTTACATGTAAGAGGAGCTAATGGAATATTAAATCACCCAGCTGATCATTGGTTACAGCCATTAAGGAAAAATTATGTTCAGCACCCTGTAAAATTTTCTACATGTAGAAGTCATTATAGTAACAATTTTTGGGGCTATTGGTTGTAAAACGAACCAGTACCACTCAACCACTGCTAATACTGCTTTTAGTTAGTATTGGGGGCTTGCTTCTTTGTTGGAACCCACCTCTCCGATTGAGGAGGTTTAGGCTGCCTACATGATTGACCTGTTATTATCTTGCCCTTGGTGATATCTATTCCCTCCCCCAACCTCTTTTTCTGTATCATTACGGAGAGGTACTGGTGTTTTTATTCTCTATCATCTGCCTGCACAGATTTTTTTGGATGAATCATAGTGGTTACTAATGTATCAATTGACTAACCTCTTTGCAGGGGAGAAATATCTGTTATTTGTCAGGATGTAAAGTCGTTGAAGGAAAAATTTGACCAACGTGTATCTCTTAGTAAGTATCTTTCCATTGAGCAGACAAGCTTTCGTATGGCATCGTCCACTTCTTCAGTAAAGAGCGTGGCCTCAGATCCTGCAACTGGGCAAATGGAGTTACCAGAGACACCCAATAAAATGAGCCGAGCACCCTCAGTTGAGTGTAAAACACCTAAAAGCAATGTTGGGGAGGAGGCTGTTGGATCTGGAGCTACACCTGTCAAGGAGCTTTTGGACGAGGACTGGGAGCTTTTTGATTTTTAGAAAATTACCTTTGCACATGCCAGTTTGTGAATATTTGGAATGTTAAATGCGTTCGGTCACTACAATATTTTCGTATTTGATTGGCTTAAGTTGAGCCTTTTTGTTGCTACGTAAATTTGTATATAATCCAACTGCTAACTGATTTTCGGCAATGGTGAATTTCCAAAGAGTCTGCTTTTGATTGCTGTGTGCTCTTCTCAATACATTTCATATATGCTGCCTTCCTGAGTGTCTGGCTCTCTGTTTGCTACTAACTCTGCTGATTCAAGAAAGTAGCCTCTTTGATGAACTTTGCGAGAGTGCTTACTGCTAATGTTAGCATGTCATATTTTATTTCAGTTATTTTTACTCATAATTTTTTTTGTAAAAAAGGTAAGAAGTAAAAACATTAGGAAGCATCCCTTACAAAAGGAGTTTTTAAAGAACGGAGTAAAAAAAAAAAAAAGGGGCTTTATTTGGATTGAGGGATATTGTTAGTGTGTCATAGCATCGCTCGAATACTAGACTTTGTTTTACTACCTCTATTGAAGTTGTGTTACAATCTGAATATGTTGTTCATGTTCATGTTCATAAGCTTCCTGCATTCATGCAATCATAGTAAGCTCGTGTCTTTAACCTTGCTCTTTCGATTTCCACCCTTTGTAAATGAATGTTGATACGAGAATCATAGAAGTAATATTTTCCTTTTTACAATGTTATTCTACATAATAAACAAGACTATATACTTACTATTTAGGTAGTAAAAGTCCAATTTCAGCTTGGTTCAACTTTAAAGTCAAAAATACTAACACAGTACAAAATATACACCAAAATTATCAAAATCAAAATAACTTATGTACATCACATATAGCCTATTTATCTCCTCAATTTATCATCTTTCTTGCTCCCACTAATACCATAACTTCCATCACCTTGCAAGCTCATATCATATACCTCTTCACCAGTTTTCGAATTCGTCCGTCGTCTTCCATAACCCTTCAATTTATCATTCCTCGGTTTCGAATTCGCTTCCTCAATGCCCTCTTCTCTCCTCACATTTATCAAATTCCTCCCAATTCCATCACCACCATCCACACTATCCTTCACCTTGCGAAATCTACCCTTTGAGCGTGAATTTCCGGCACTTGATTTCGAACCCGCCTCACCACGAACCTCTTTCTGCTTCCGAATTCCACCCTTTGAACTCAAATTCCCAACACTCGATTTCCGATTTCCACTCGAATTAAACCCATCATAGATGCAATTACCATACGGCTTAACACTGTGAACAACCCCCTTAGGAAAAAACCTAGCAGAGGGCAAATTCTCATGAGTATGAAAAATCTGAGGGCCATCATTTTCAGACCACAAATCAAAACCCCCAGGTTTCTGAAACCTATCAGCTAAAACCTTAACTTGTTCATCAGCCGAAACAGAGAAAATCGAAGATGAGCTTTTGGGAGCACCCTTCTGAACAACCTCCCAAGGGCGTTCAAGATCGGATACAGCGGCCTTTAGTTCAGCACGCTTGCGCATCTCGTAGATCTGACGCTCGCGAGAGAGGCGGGCTTTGAGGAGTTGCTTGGCTTTCTTTGCCTGCATTCGTTTCCATTCCCATTTCGAGACGCCGCCCGGGTAGGTTCTTGGGCCTCCGCCCATGCGGATGAGAGTGGTTGGTGGACGGCGGTGATGGTGTTGGAGGGAGAGGGTGGAGAAGTGAGGGAGGAGAGAGAGTGGGGAGATTGAATTGGAGGAGGATAGTTGAGTGTGAGGAAATTGGGGTTTTGGAAGGGTGAATGGTGTTTGGAGGATTTGCATTTTGTGTTTTTTGGTTGAGTGGTTCAAGGTGAAAGACAAAGTGAGTGTGAGTTTTTTTGGGAACTTTGAATGTATTTGTAATTTTGTATTGGTATTTTATACGTTTTTTTTTTTGTTATATATGTGGAAGGAGGAGGTGATGGACTCGTGGGATTGGGTGGGGATGGAAAAAATCCATTAATGGAGTAGGGAGAAGCGTCTAATTGTAATGAAACTATAAAATTTTATTTTAGTATAAAAATGTCCCCTATTTTTATAGGTAAAATAAAAGGAAAAAGTTTAGGTTTATCTGTTTTGATATACAAAAATTATTTATCAAATGACAAAAATGTAAATAAATCAATAACTTTTTGTCGTATATGGGTCTCACGTTTTTTAATTTATTTACCAAAATGTCATGCTGACTAGACAAAAATAGCAAAAATGTAAATAAAGTCATATATGGGTCAAAAAAAAATTGATTTATTTACCAAAATGTCATATTGACTAGACAAAATTGTTGATTTATTTACAATTTTGTCATCAAGGAGATAAAACTAGGGCTTCCTCAAATAAAAGGCCCTATCAGGCCGAACTCCTCACGGTCCAATCCAGGTTATGAAAATGTGTTTATTTGATGACCATAATGTGAGTTTGTGATATAGTTTATACCTTAAGACTTCCCCTATACTTTAGGATTTTTTTTGTTTTATTTTTTTTAACAACAATTTTAAAAGGAGGTTGGCTCTCAAATGACTCAAGATTACAAAGGGTGTATTTAACTCTCTTAATCAAACTAATACAAGAACTAGAAAGGGGATTGGGGTTACAGATGTTGTGAACCGCTTGACAATGCAAATAAGGGGGTTGAGAAGATCCATCGCCAGAACTATCCATTAGTTGTTTCAAACTTGTTCCCTTACGTTTCGTGATCCTACAAAAACAAAACCGGAATACCTCTTATCTTTTTTGTTCTTCACCCTTGACCTGATTGGCCTTCCATGTTTTCTTACTATCCATAATTTAGGATCTTACTACATGGTTATTCAATCGATTAAGATAAATGAAATTTTTCATTTATTTTTCTTCTAATTATTCATGTGTAATTAGACCTATCAAGTTTTTATCCAACCTAACTCAACCTATTTTTATGGTTGATGAACAAAATTTTCGACCAAAATTCGATTCAAACTGAGCCCGTTTAACTCATAAATTTGCGGGTTAAACCTGACTAGAACTTAACCCAACCCAATGACCTGTTTTTGGGATTTTCTCTTTTTTTTTTTTTTAAATACATTTATCAAAAAAAGAAAACCTAGTTCTTTGATTGAGTTTGACCATCCATCCACCATTCTACATTCATTTTTCTCTCATCTATCTCTCTCTTAGATCCACACCAATTGTCAACCACACCAACCTACCGAGTATCGTCTCACACCAATTGCATCCGCATAACCCATTTCGCGCCATCGACAACTGTCATCAAATGGTATTTAGTTTGAATTTTGTATAACTAATGTCTTTTACACTATATCATTATATTATAAGTTAAGTCGAATTGTACCGTGTTGATGAATTTTACATGATATATATCACAAAGATAGTCATTGGAGATAATGTAATGCTTTAAGTTAGATAAGGGAGATAATAACCAACTCTATAAGGATATTATTTACGTAATCAAAGGGATTATACACCTAAAGAATAACAATATCAATATTGTCAAATATATGATTTGGAGAAATAAATAAGTGATATCAAGAAATATTGTTCTCCACATATTTAATAATGTTGGCTTCTTCTTTTAATTGTGTAATGTTTACTTATTTTTTATTATATTATTATTTTGATTCATTAGAATTGGATGTGCTTTGGTGTCTATTTATATTATGTAGTAGAAATGTAATGACAAAACACAAAATTATATTGGTGAGTATATTTTATTAATAAAAATGAAACATAAACATCAAAGAGAGCTTGAAAAAATAAAATATTTCTAACAATAAGCAAAAAATTAAATAAATTACATAAAAATTGTTCTTAAACCCATTGGGGCGAACTTGAAAACATTGGATTAGGGTTGAGCATTTCTCGGCCCGTGACCAGACCCGAAGTGACCCAACTTGACTGACCCGATAGACAGGTCTTGTGTAATGATTTACTGTTATATACCCTTCATATTTTGTAAGTGAAACATTTCTCTTGGGTACATATGTCAATGCAAAACTTTGATTAATCGTATCTTTAATTATCAATAAGTAAAAATTATAACAATTGAATATTAATAAATTATTTATTGAGACATTTCAAACAAGTGCCCACAATACTAAATATTTTCATTTATAAATCACTATTGTCTTCGTTTCATAATGTTAGTCACATTTTCTATTTTGGGCCTTTAAAAAAGATAGTGTCACACTCCCACATTCTATTTTAATGCCTCACATATCCTCTTTATTTTCCTACATTACCCTTGTTTTGGTCCCTATGCAAAACTTTAATGATCCCAATAAAAAAAAAATGGTCTCAAATTCTCAACGTATTTTCACGGCCCCATCGTATTGATTAAAAAAAAAATGGTCCATTGTATATTTCTGGTCTTAATGTACTTTATTCCAATAATCTCCCTTTTCCTTAATTTATATAAAAGATTTTAAATGGGACTAACATTATGATACTGATTGAGTAATATTAGTCAAAGTGGATTAGGTAAATAGTGTAAAAAGTCATAACGTTTCACTTATAAAAAATATGGAGGGAGTAGGTTTAGAATAAGGGTTTATTTTGTTCACTTTTTTTTTTTTTTTTTTTTACTTATTTCAGGTCAAATAAGTTTATATAAATGTAGATACATCCTATTCAGTAAAAATTAAGTACCAATAAGGGTTACCCCAATTCAAATTACAACTATAATAAATTTTAACAAAGTCTAATAAGGTATTCAAATAAGTGAAAAATCAGGTGCATAAAAACACACCCTTAAGTTGCTTAGATTGAATTTGGTGTGATTCTTTTCTTAACGGAATATCATTCTTAATTTGATTGCGTAGTAGAAAAACAGGAAAATTTGTAAAAACCACCCCCAAAAAACACCACTTTTCTAATTAACCACCCTTTTTTACGAAATTAAAAAAAAAAAAAAAAAAAACCACCTCCAAAACGCAAAACTAGTAGGTATCATCACCCCTTCCTCGATTCTGGCATGTTTTCTGACTAATGGTCCACGTGTCACCACCCTGTTGGTCAAAATTAACAAAATTAAAAAAATATATTAAAAAAATCCGTAACCATTCCACGGCAGCCGTCCCCTCCCCTTTCTCCTGCCACCCACTGGAACAGCCAACCCCACCCAAACCAACAACTTGTCGGACAATCCCCCACCCCAACATAGCCACCTCCAGCATATACCCTTGCCAGCGAACCCCACCAAGCCCCCCACAAGTATATACAATACCTTCTTTTTCTTCTTCTTTTACTTTTCACTCAATTGAAGCGCACTCTGAGTTCTCCATTTAAGCAGCTCCTGAGCTTTTCTCTCACTCCATTGAAACAGTTTTTGAGGTAGGATGAATCGCAGGCGGTGGTTAATTTCGGCTGGTGTTGCGAATTGTAGGACACCAAAGAAACTAGAGTTTCAAGGAGAGAGAAAGGGGAAACATTGGGGATGAAATTGGAGGGGGCTTGGTGGCCGGGCGAGCAAGGGTGGGGTTTGATGGGGGTTCACCGGAAGGGGTAGTGGTTGGAGGTGGCTGCTATGGCTAGGGTTAGGGGAATTATTCTTTTTTATTTTTTAAAAAAAATTGATTTAATTTAATTTTTTTTAATTTTGTTAATTTTGAAAAATAGGGTGGTGACGACCCTTAGTTGAAAAACAAGCCTTAATAGAGGAAGGGGTGGTGATACCCTTGATACCTACTGGTTTTGCTTTTTGAAGGTATTTCTTCTTTTTTTTTTTTTTTTTTTTTTTTATTATTATAAATTTCGTTAAAAAAAAAGTGTGGTTAATTAAAAAAGTGGTGTATTTGGGGGTGGCTTTTTACAAAATTTCCTATTGATTACAAAGGATCACATAATATATAAAGGAATTTTATTTTTTTGAAAAAAAAGACAAAAAATTGAGCACAAACAATGAATATTGATTACATTGTACAAATATTTTGGAAAAACATTGTCAACCATATAAGCATTAAGTTTGTTACAGAAAAAAAAATTAAAAAAAAGGCATTAAGTTAAGCCCAAACATCAATAAACTTTAAAATTCTACTTTGTACTCTCCTTGTTAAAAATTGTTCCGGTTTGAATAGTAATTGTATAAAAAAAAAATTTAAAGCATGCACTTTGATGGAAAAATGATCAAAGTGAGCTACATTAAGAAACTATGTTTCATAGTAGACGCGTGGCAAACCTATTTACCAAACTAAGCTTCTAGGGTAAAATGTCATCCAGGTTGGCGTTTTACCCTAACTGACATTTTAAAAAAAAAATTGGCCAGGATAAAAACGCCAACCTGGATGGCGTTTTTGTATCGAGTATATTTTCCAGTTTACTTCTGTTTTATCATTGTTCTTCAAAAAAACAAAAACCACCAATTCCCAAACCCTAACCCCCGCGCACAACACTTCGCCAATTCCTCCATATTTGCAGCAAATTCATCACTTCCCATTGCTTAGATCTTCATCACACTCACTAAAAATTGTTCCTCCTTTTTTCTTTAACACTTTTACGCAGTAAATTGATCGTATTTGAGGTATGTATGTAATTTAACTATTTTACTTGTTTTTGATGTTTTTTGGGAGTTTGTGTTTGTAATTTACAATTTATGTTCTATATTGTTGTTCAAGTATGCGATATAAGTACAACTACATAATACATTATTGTTTAATTATTGAAATTAAGTATATTTATATGTACGTTGTTTAATTTCAAATCAAGTATATGAAGCATACATTAGTCTTCAAGTATGCAGGTTTTTTTTTTTTTGCTAAATATGTATATTTAGTGTGTAATTATGTAATTTAAGTATGTTTACAAGCTACATTGTTGAATTAGGTACATTTAAATATATACTACATTGCTGATTAACTAGGTAAATAAGTACATTGTTGAACACTACATTGTATATACGCTTAGCTTGAGGATTTAATAGAATCATTATGGTTTTAGTTGTGTTGTGTATTTGTGTCATCTAATATGTGTTCCAATTGTTATGTAGAACATGGCTTCACAATTGATTGTTTTGTTATGCCGTTGGGGGGGGTGAAATTTTGTGTGTCGGATCGAAAGTCGAGTATAGAGGAGGAGAAATGGAACCATTGGCATTGAAACCTTGTATACTTACGATGATTTGTTGAAGAAGGTTTA